GTTCATCCATTTCCGCGCAATCTAAGATCTTTTGGATTACTAGGCCTTCTGACGGTATGGTATCATTTTTCCAACAATCCTTAACGACCAACGCAAACAAAGTGCTAAAATCGAGCTGGTTACATTGGTGACCTGATATACGACCACACCATGTTACAATTGTGATGGGCAGGTTCCATTATAGTCATAACTCGAGAACTATTTATATAGCAACCAGAAAGGACAAGAGCCCATTGTTGAAAATTTAGGAATTGGCAGGCCCATCTACAATTAGCGGCGTGCAATCAAATAAAGCTGATTTTTTTTTTCACCTTTTCACCACCCAGTTCCCTTGGACCAGCAGCGCCACCTGCTGGATGCTTCGCAAAACTGCAGTCGGATCCGTCCCAGAGGCCAGGAGGCTCATTAAACTAGCAAAGGCGATGACTTTCACTGTTAAGAGGGGGAAAAAAAACAGAGATCCATCATCCCCAGCCAGCCAGAAGTCCCCTCCCTTCACGAAAAAGGGAAATTGGAGAGCAACAGGAAGGGCTGATCAAATCCAGATCCTAAGAACCCTACCCAGAATTCATTATGAGCTCCGATCAGGAGATCAGCAAAAGCATCTTGGTTAATACCGTGTTTCTCCAAAAATGTCTTATATTTTTCTGCCACCAAAAAAAAGGCACCAGGTCTTACTTTCAAGGGATGACCTCCACTGACTAACCTCACTTGTGCGCATCGCCCCCGGCCTCCTTTTCGCTGTCAGAGGCCTTCAGGAACTTCTTCTTCTGCAGCCAGCAAGGCTTTTCTGAAGGCTACTGCAGCTGATAAAAAGAGCTCTGGATCGATCCAGAGCTTTGTTCTCACAGCTCCAGAGGCCTTCAGGAAATCCTGGGCAGCCTTGCAGCGGCAGAAGAAACGGGCCGGCAAGGCAGGTGTCGGGGTGTGCGAGGCCTGGCTACAACTGTCCAAAGGTAAGGAGGAGGGCAGCTGCATCCCCACATCCCCACCCTAGCTTAATTTTTATCCATGCATTCTGGAGTGGGCAGGATCTTAATTAGGGCTTGTTTTGGGGGTAGGGCTTATATTGGGCACACATCTAAAAAATCAAGCTAGGACTTACTTTCAGGGTAGGTCATATTTTCAGGAAAACGGGGTACTTGGAGGGGAGACCACTCAAAGATCACTTATGAGATGGAATAAAAGTTGGAGAAACTTCGCCCCCACCCCCCAAGGAACAAATATTGTTAAGAATAACAGGGCAGTCCCCGAACCCTGTAAGCTTTTGCCACTCACCACAGACCCCACTTGCTCACTGAAATTGGTCAAAACAATTTTAGCGAGAATTTGCAAGGAAAAAAAGAGGAATAACCAGAACCTACCATTTTTCATCAGAATTTTAATCTGGTCGGCCAAAGGGAGCGTTCGCAACTGAGCCATAGGCAGCACATTGCTTGGCGCTACTGGTTTTTCCCTGCATGTAAAATAAAATAGCCATTAAATGCAGGTTGCTGTGGCATCCCCAAACTATATTTAAATATCTCAGCTTAGTGTTTCTGGGTAAAACTCAACCAATAAGGATCATCTGCAGAAGCAACCCTGAAAGATTTGAGTCTGGTCCATTCTCTAGCATGGAGAGAAGGTTAAAAACTACCAGCTAACATCAGGAGGGACATTTAAGAAATAACATGGTTTTAAATCCCCCCCACCCCCAAGAATGAGTGATCCCTAAGCTACTTGAGAACTGAAGAAGCTTCCTGGATCAGAAGTGAAACGTTGTCAAGGAAAAAAAACCAAGAAAGTCCAGTTGCCTTTTGGAAAAAGCACTTTTTCGAGACAAAAGTGACCTGAATGGCGGAGAATCTCCATTAGAACTAAGCCACTTACTTTTCTTCTTCTACGCTAGGTGGAACCAGCATCATCAAATATTCACTGTGGAGGGGAAAAAAAAAAGAAGAAATATGGATTTGCTTTGAGAAAGGAACACGTCAAAATTATCATTAGAAACCAGCAGAAGGTAGCCGACTGAATTATCTGAAAGAAATCCAAGCCAATACAGTGCATAAAATGTGGGGAATCTGGCCCTGCCCTAAGCCACAATATTGACAATGATCTTTGCAAGAGGAATGGTGGCTTAGCGTCTTTGCATCTCCCCCTCAGCAGCCCAACTGACTTTGGCGGGGGAAAGTGGACTGGATTTCAGTGGTTTCTCTTCTCCCCTTTCCTCACCTTGGCGATTTAATTAATTCCGTGTTCCCAGCCATGCTGTGACCTTGGCTGAATAAATACTGGCGCTCGTGCTCGGAACGGCTGTCCTAAGAGAAAAAGAAGAGGAAGAGCCGTGGATTCCACCAACTTTAATGGCCATTTCAGGACGACCGCGTGAAAATATGCAGTTAGGAGCTAACTGTTCTTCCTGTTCAGGAAGAGGAAGGAGGAAAGGAAAGGAAAAGGATGATGGACTTATTTTGGAATTGACACCTATTTCCCCCCACCCCCTCTGTAATCAACTGTCATGAAGCTGTCATAGTTTTGACAATTCTCACAAGGGAAGAAGATCTGGAGAACCAAAACCTCTACCATCAGATTGTATAAAACTGTGAGGGAAAATCAAATCAGCTACTCTAGCCGACCATTTCTGCAGATGTAATTACGCATGTGCTGCAGAAACACAAGTCCTTGGAAACCTACCTTCAAACCGTAATAATGGAGGTGAACCCAATGCTCTTCTGCTTGTCTTTTCTGCAGGAATTCGTAAGATTGAACTCGCCGTTGGCGGGCCTGCTCCGACTCAGGCCTGGAGAACCTCACCTGAAAGAGAGACCTTCCTGTTATTAGGGGATACGATCAAAATTCCTAATGAGGTGAGGACAGGTGAAGACCTCATCCTATCTAGAAAGTAATGATGTTACCATCATTATTCTCATCTTTCCTATTTACCTATCACCTTATCTTCTTATGGTTATAACTTGTGGCTTGTATCTTACTATTTAAATAGCTTAATTAGTATCCTTGTATGATTTATGTTGATTGCTTATTTAGTATCCATGACTATCACTAAGTGTTGTATCTAATGTTTTACAATGAATATATTTTTACAATGTTTATAATAATGATCTATCACTATTGTTGCATGTACACTGAGAGCTTATTCGCCGGAGAGAAATTCCTTGTGTGTCTTATCACACTTGGTCAATAAAGAATTCTGTCCTGTTCTGTTCTATTCTAATTCTAATCTAATCTAATTCTTCATTCCATTGTTCTATTCTGTTTTCTATTCTATTGTGTTTTCGATTCTGTTCTAATTATTCTATTCTAATTCTTCATTCCATTGTTCCAGTCTATTCTGTTTTCTATTCTATTCTATTCCATTCTACTCTATATATTGTTCTCTTCTCTCTTCTATTCTATTACTGTTCTATGTTCTCTTCTCTTCTCCTATTCTCTTCTCTTCCCTTCTATTCTTCAAAGAACTGACACCTCCTTCCTCTAATAGCAACCAAAGGAGAGCAGAAAGAATTGAGAGGTACTGAATTCAAAATGGGCAGTTTAGAACTAGAACCAATATATATATATATAAAAGTAAAAAAGATGTAATAGGCTGGAAGAGCAAAATAATTTTTAAAAAGCAAGCAACTTTCCCAAAACAAAACTTATTGTGGTCGTGTATCAAGGACTACACTTGTACATGCAGGTTGCCAAGAACCCAAATTTTGCCCACGATTGTGGGGATGTTGCAAATGTTATAATGCGAAGATTTGTCACAAGTCACTTTTTTGGTGCAACTTGGAATGGTCACTAAACAAACAGCTGTAAGTTGAGGACTATCTGTATATTCCTGGGAGTTAAAGACAGGTGTCAGAGAACATCTTGACGTACCGTGATTTGCTTCACGTCTTCCTCAACCTCATCCTGGGAAGAATCCCCATCTGGGAGAAGGAAAAGAAGTGGGCATTAAACAGAAAGCATCTTAACAGCCAACAGTTGCTGCATGTGGGAACATACACAAACCTTGATAAATTATCAGAGCTACAAAGGAAAACGGAAATTGGCTGAATTTAGAATGCCAATAAGCTGGATGTTTGCGGCAGAGATCTGATTCGCAATACCACTTATATCACAGTGCATTTACAGCCCTCTCTAAGCGGCTTATGGAGTCAGCCTATTTTTCCCCCAACAATTTGGGTCCTCATTTTACCCACCTTGGAAGAATGGAAGGCTGAGTCAACCTTGAACCAGTGATAATCGAACTGCCAAATTACTAAACCGTGCTTCACAGTCTGTAGCATGAAGAGCTAGGCTATAAGGCTGGGGAATTCTGGGCACTGAAATCCCTACATGCTGGCTGAGGAATTCTGGGAGCCTTACAGCATTAAGCTGTAAAGGCTATAAAGCCTGGTTAAAACACAGCCAGCCATTTTAAACACGGAAGCTGGCCATCTTCTCAGACTCAAATACAGAGAATATGGCGCCCTCCTTACGCTCGTTAGCAGCTTCACGTTCTCGGTATTTCGCATCTGCTTTGTCCAGGTAGGCAAAACTTGGCCGCATTTGCAGGATCCCATGCAAGGGAGTCAGGTGAAGTTCCCCTGCAACAGAGTAAAGCAATTATTTTTAACAAGAGAAATAGCAGAGACTGGATCTAAAACAGCATTTTTCTAGCTCAACGATTTAAAGATATACGGACTCCAACTCCCAGAATTCCCCAGTAGATGTTGCCGGCTGAGGAGAGGACGTCCATGCATGCTGGCTAGTGAATTCTGAATTTTAGAATCCATTCATACAGGCTGAGGAATCCTGGGAGTTGAAGTCCACCTAGCTATGCTGGCTGGGGAACTCTAGACCCTGGAAAACACGCATGCTGCCTGAGGAATTCTGGGAGTTGAAGAAAACAGTTGTGGCCCGCCAGCAGCCTGTGGAGAAGGCAGCAGAATCAGACAGTGGGGAGGAACATGGGCCAGTCTGGGAGTCTGGGGAGGGCTCGGATGTTGGTCCTGTGTCCGATACAGAGATGGGGCCAGGACCATCTGGGAGTTATGTGGTGACTCCGGAGCCTCCAGAATCTGACAGCAGCGAGGCAGAGGAACACAGGGAGCCTGTTCCCCGTGTGCGCTTGTGCAGAGCTGCCAGAAGGCAAGAACAGTTAAGACAAAAGGGGTGACTCGGGAGTAAGGCTTGGAGGTGAGTGGCCTTCCCATGAGACATAAAGGAGGAGCAAAGGGACAGGAATCTTTGCAGGAAGCAACTTTGTTCGTACTGGTCAGTTTGAAACCTGAAGCTCTGTGTTGAATTTTGTGCTCCATTTGGTTTTGAAAGACTAATTGGTACTTTAGTCATTGGCATCACTTCAAGAAAGATAAAGATGGATCCTTACCAGACTTCTCCCGAAGGATTTTGGCAGACTTCCACGGGACAATTTATAACTGGTTGAGATTCATTATGGGCTGTGAATGATGATAATTCACAGCCGTTGAACTAAAATAAAAGGGTTTTGAATTTAACATGTGTGTTTGTTGGTATCTCAGGAAGCCTTGGTCAGAACAAACACATCTTCAAGTTGGTGAGGGGAGAAGCCCTGCTCCAAAGCATAGGCAGCCCTTGGACAGACGGAATTTGAGTATAATGACCAAAGATTTCTGTCTCTTGCTGGTTGCACTTAAAACAATTCTGCTCAGGTAAAAAGGCAGTAAACTAAGCAGCTACGTTCATACCACCTGCTAACCCTGGTTAGACACGGATGGGGGTTGGAGGTGTTAGAAACTAATGAAAATACAGGCTCTGAATGAACTCCATTGCTAGGCTGTGTTCATGCCCCCAATTTTGCACCAGAATTCCGAAGATGGTAGCGGCTGTTTTTTTTTTAAATGATTTATTCTGGAAAACCACAAAGGTGGGCATAACAACTCACCTCTTTTGTAGATAGCAGCAGCGTATCGTGAAATGTTGCTGGTGGTTTGCGAGGAGCAGAATGTTTGCTTGTCCATCAACTTCCTGGAAAACAGGGAACACAGGAACTCAGAGAAAAGGCATGTGGGAATGATCTTAGGAGACCGGGAGAAGAGACCATGGTCAGATAAGAGAGGATATTATAGCCCACAGGTGTATAAAAGGTAAAGAAAGAAGTTCAGATGAGACCCTCCCTAACTTTGAGTGTAAAGTGGTGGGGGGAGAGAGATTTGTACTTTCAGACTTGCAAGATTCTGTTAATGTAACTTTACAATAAAATAGAATTAACTCATTTGGTCGTCTTTCTCGTCTGTGTCCATTTGGTAAGACTGACCCTCAAACTAAAGAGGAGCAGCTTAACAGTGCAAGGCTCAATCATGGTCATAACTTGGGGACTTCCTAAAAGACTCTGGGTAGACTGCAGAGAAAAGCAACAAAGATTAGGGGACTGGAGGCTAAAACATATGAAGAACCGTTGCAGCAATTCGATATTTTAATGAAAAGAAGGGTTAGGGGTGAAATGATAGCAGTATTCCAGTATTTGAGGGGCTGCCATAAAAAAGAGGGGGTCAAGTTTTCCCTAAAGCACCTGAAGGCAGGGCAAGAAACAATGGATGGAAAGTAAACAAGGAGAGAAGCAACCTAGAACTTAAGGAGAAATTTCAGTGAGAACAATTAATCAGTGGAACAACTTGCCTCCAGAAGTTGGAAATGCTCCAACACTGGAGGTTTTCAAGAAGAGATTGGTCAGCCATTGGTCTGAAATGGTTTATTTATTATAATTTGTCAAACAAACAAAAACAGGAATAATATAAAAAAACCCAATGACAGGGACGATAGGCACGTTAGTGCACTTATGCACGCCCCCTTTGCGGACCTCTTAAGTGTGGAAGTGAGGTACACGGAAGTCAATTTGCCACTAAAACTGTGAAAATTTGTAGCTGAGACCACTGAATCCGGTAGAGCATTCCAGACTGTGACAACCCTATTACAAAAACCGTGTGTTTTTTTTACACTCAAGTTTAGAACGGTTGACATTGAGTTTATAAGGGTTGTTCGAACGCAAATTATTGCGATTAAAACAGAAAAATGTCATTTACAGGTAAAACATTGCTGTGTACAATTTTGCATGCAATACCTAACTCTTGTTTGTGTATAAAATCTCCTGCCTGAGGAGGGGGGAGGGTTGGACTAGAAGACCTCCAAAGTCCCTTCCAACTCTGTTATTCTGTATTAACCTGCCAATCAAAAAACCCGACAGAGATGGGGATTCCACCAAGTTGAATCTGAGCATCAATGGAAAGGCAATACTTATGCTTGAGGGGGGGGGAAATTTGGGGTATGGGATAGATCTGGATAAATGGCAGAAATTATGGAATAGAAATTATAAATCAACAATGTCAACAGTCCATAAAGAGAATTTATATAAGATGTTTTACAGGTGGCAACTCCCCCCCCCCCCCCCCCCCCCAGAATGGCAAAGAATTTTTAGACAAAACAGCAAAATGTTGCAAAGTGTAATCAGATACCTGGATCATACTACCATATGTGGTGGACATGCGCAGAAGCTAAAAGATATTGGACTAAAATATACACGTGGTTGGAAAAGATGATAAAACAACATATAGATTTAAAGCCTGAGATATTTTTATAGGGGATTTTGCCTGAAAATTGTAGCAAAGAAATAACACACATTTGATTATTCATGTATTAATAGCAGCTAGAATTGTATTTGCTTAAAACTGGAAAAATGAGAAAATTCCGATGGAGGAGGAGATGATAAAAGAAAATAATGGAATGTGCAGAGATGAGTAGGTTAACATTAGCAATTAGACAGCAAGGAGAAAGGGAATATTATAAGATTTGGGATTTATTTTATGGATGGTTAGAAAGTAGAGTAAGAAATTAAAGAATACTGAAATAATGATATACTGTAATAGATCACTCTGAATAAGATACAACATGAATATGATTTAGCAAGAGTTGGGATTTGCTCACAAAGATAGCTGGAAACTGAAACAAAAAACCTAATGACATTGTAATAATGATATAATATGATATACTGTATAACGTTGACTAGAATATAATACGAATTATACAAGAGATGTATATAAATACTATTATGTGCACAAGATATATATACCCAGTCGACATGCTGTATAATTGAAAGAAGGTTTTATTTGTTGTTTTTGTTATAAAAATAAAAAACTTTTTCAAAAAAAATTGGAAAGGCAAGACTTACGAAGAATAAGTGTTGGTCTCGTCCGTACATGTGCCGTCTACGTTGAGAGCAATTTGTTCCCCTTTGCTACGACAGTAGTTGGAGTTTGACGTATCAATGGCCATTTCCAGTTCAACCTGAACAAGAGTAGAAGGTGGATCAGCTCAGCAGAATGAGGACATGCAACCATTCACAAAAACCAGAGAGAGAAAAAATAAGCTGCCGAATTGGATAAAACACGAGACAGAGGCTGTGTATCTAAGTAGCAGATTGGGTGTTATTAACCCCTGGAGGGTTCAATAAACTTTTCCTCCAAATCATAATTTTATGCAAGATCAGATTTAAAAAGATAAAAACTACTACAAATGTTTAAATAATAGTAAAAATACAAAATAGAAAGAACATAAAAAGTTTTTTAAAAAAGGTATTACCAACCCCAAGAAAAATAGAAAAGCAAAAAAGATAGATGATGCGAAAGAAAATAAATATATAAAATGATTTCCGCTTTATCAGTGCAAGGATAAACATTAGAAACTTATCACTCTCACTTAAAATACAACAAATGATCTCTTGTTATATCCCATCTTTTATTATACCCAAATCCTTAAAGTCTCATCCTTCAGTCCTGGATCGCAAAAGTCTATGAAGGTTAACAAATGTAGCTGTTTTAACCTTGAACAAATGAGCCTTTTAGAAAGGGAGTTGAATGGCCAATAAATTTAAATAGTGCTTGGTTTGATCAAGAGAATCTTATCTGTTTTGGGAAAGTTAAAACTGGGAATTTCATTACTAGAAATTACGCAGAATCACAGCTGGGCTTAGTGAAAAATCACAATATCTTTTGCTTGGCCTAACACTTCAAACGAAACTAGTTACTCTGGTTTCTAAACCGTAATTGTCTCTACATGTTCCATCAACTCACCCAATTAGATGTGCTCCATAAAGTACCTTTACAAGAAAGCTATGGCTTAATGAGAAACATTAAGTACCAATTCTAAGTACTAAAAGTAAATTTTATTCAGTTACTTCCAAACAAACCTTTTCAGATGCATTCTATCTTTTAGCCATCACGTCAGGGATGAACAATCTTGAATCTCCACGTATTTTGAATTATAATTTATTTCAATCCTTTGTTATTGGTTGTTCTAACCAGAACAAGGCATAAACCATAATCCAAAATACAGGAAGAAAAAAGATTTTCTGCCCTTACACCATTTTAGCCCAGCAAGAAGGTAAAATTTCTAATAATGGTGGAATAACAGATTCTTAGAAAGGTTTAACTAGATCGTTTCTCCCCACCATTAAAACTTCATCTTAGTTTTGAAACAACGTCTTCAATTTTTTTGAAGGTTTTAAAGTCACATCCAACCTTTTGTTGCTTTGGTTTGATCTTCGCCGTGAGATGAGTAACTTCATTGTAGGTCATCGAAGCTGGACGAATAGGATACTGCAATAAATCAAGATGCAACTTCAGTTATTTTTTCAAAGACTCTTTCATTGGGGTTTTTAAAAAAACAAAACAAAACAAAACTTGCATGGAAAAAAATATACCTGGAATAGATACAGTTTTTCCGAAAGACTTTTGGCCAGGTAGACGTCAATCTAGCAAAAAAGGCAGAAGAGATATTCAATATTATTTTTATTTTAGTTTCTGGATCTTTGATTCTGAACCTTGGTAAGGTGTCTCGCCCTTAAAATTGCAATTCAGAAGAATAAACCGGTGTGACAAACCAACTAAAAGAAATAACACATTTGTATAAAAAAGGAAGGGAATACATAATAAATTTGAAGCCTTTTTTTCTGAAATGCAAGAAAGTTGGCATAATTGAAGCAGGAAAAGGACTGAAAAAAAAAAAAGCAGGAAAATTCAGCTGAAAAAGGACTTCATTTAAAAAGGATGGTTTATTTTAAAACGAAGGCCTCTGCGAGAGAAGAGATTAGTATATAATTAGAGAGGTGTGAATTTGACAAGCTAAAGCATTCCCCGTTTTCAGTTAGAGCTTAATCTTAATTTTTCACTCTGAAATTACACTGGATATTAACTTTCCATCACAAAATGGTGATCAATGACGAAGCTAATAACCTGAGAGGAAAACCTTACTACTAAGTCCTCGACTTATGACAATCGGGACCAGAATTTCTGCAGCTAAACAAGGGTGGTTGTTAAGCGAGCCGTGCCCCGATTTTACAACCGTTTTAGCATGGTTATTAAGTGAATCACTGCAACTGTTAAGTTCCTTCACTGAGTTTGCTTATGGGAAACCAGCTGGGAAGATGATTACCAAGTGCCCAAATTTTGATCATTTGGCCACACGGATGTTGCAACGGTCGTAGTGCAAGGATTGGTTGTTAAGATACTTTTTTCATTACTGTCGTAACTTCGAATGGCTTCTCAACAAACAGTTGTAAGTCGAGGGATATATACGTATATTGTCTATTGGAGAAAAAGCTACAACAGATACGGAAGAAGATTTTATTTTAAAGAAAGATCTTTACTTGCCTCTTGTATAATAGGGTCATCTTCCTCATTGGCCATAGTAGCATTGAAAGAAAATTGGCCTTGCGGTGTTTGCGTTAACCTGAAACAAAACACACAATCATCACAACACGGATCTCTTCACTGGATTCAAAAAAAGCTTTAACATAAAAGGCAACCAACAACAAACAAGCAGTTCTCGACTTACGACCATAATCAAGCCCCAGCATTTCTATAGCTAAGCAAGACATTGGGTTAAGTGAGTTTGGCCCCATTTTACGACGTTTCTTGTCACCGTTGAGTGAACCGCTGCAGTTTTTAAGTCAGGAACACGGTTGTTAAGTGAATCTGGCTTCCCCTTTGGTTCTGCTTGTCAGAAGGTCACAAAAGGGGATCCCATGACCCCAGGACTCTGCGAGCGTCTTAATATGAGTCAGATGCCAAAGCATCTAAATTTTGATCACGTGACCATGGAGATGCTGCAGCGGTCTTTAAGTGTGAAAAGCTTTTTTCCAACGCCATTGTGACTTCGAACTAAACGAATGGTTATAAATCGAGGACTACCTGTGGTTATCCTGCCCTTTTCACTTCCATCTTTTGTGAAAGACACATTGAAAAATAATCCAGTTTCTTCTCCCAGTTCTTTGTTTTGCCCTTAAATAGTCTTCCTCTTCTACTTATTTGATTTCAGTCCTAGATGACCAACAAAACTATGAACTTAAATCACACGAAAATAGAAAAATAAAAGACTCCATTGACAGAATAAAATAAGTCATTTCCAACTCAATAAACTGATTCTGCTTTCTTTTCTGATTGTGTATCTTCGTTTTACTGAGCTTAGAGAACAGAAACAAACCAGAAACAAGCAAAACAAGAGGACAGAAGAGGTTCTATGTTTCAAAAAGTATAAATTATTGTGTATTTAGCTTTGGTTCACTGTACAGCTAGTCCTCGACTCGTGACAATTGAGCCCAAAATTCATGTTGTTAAGCGAGACATCTGCGAAGGGAGCTCTGCCCCGTTTTACAGCTTTCCTCGTCCACCGTCGTTAAGCAAATCACCGCCATTGATAAGTTAGTAACCAAGGCAAGAATTAGAAATACAGGGAATATTTATAGATTGGTGGCCATACCTTCAAGTGCAGACGAGGTATAAAAAAGATCTAGGATTTGGATTTGAAACAAAAGAAACCCAGCCAAATAAATTATTGCTAGGATCAGAAGAAAAAATAATATCTAAAATATACAATTATCTATTAAACTTTGACTTAGAAGAGGAATTTGTTAAAGGACCCATGTTAGCCTGGGCTAAAAACTTTGGACATAACATTGATTTAGAAGACTGGGAAAAAGTGTGGCATAAAAATTTTTCTTTGACAAAGTCGGTTGCATATAAAGAAAATTTATATAAAATGCTTTATCACTGGCATTTGGCACCACCCAAAGCAGCCACGTCCTGGCTTCTGCATTTTCCCATCCGTAGCTGGGGAGGTCAGAGCAGGGTTTGGTGCCAAGTCTAAATCTCTAACCCCGGTTTAAGAAACCAGGTTAGGAGATCTCGGGCTGATGCAACCTTTTGCAAAAAAAAAGAGAAACCTTTGCAAGGAATTCAAGGAGGCTCCTGGCTTGGATTCACCAGGCGTGATCTTTTCCAGGAGTGGGGGATCCACCCAGGGTTTGGAAAGGCAGGGAGGGAAGGGGGGCACAGAAGGGAAAGAGGGGGGGCTCTCCTACCCACCCCAGCTTGGATTCTTCTTTAACTTCTTTTTTTCTTAAGTATATGTGTGCTTTTTTAATTCATAAACATTTTGAATACAGTATATTCCAATCACGGCTTCTCATTTACAGAAAAACAAAATAAAAACATACAGAACTATGAACATAATATACTGATACTAAGAGTATAACAGAATAATTTTGACTCAATTTCTCTTTGTCTTAGCTTATTTATAGTTCTGTTGTTGATTACATTAACATAGCTATGGCGATAAACCCTCTTTATATTCAATTCATACGTTAACAGTCATCTTTCGTCACCTCATTTCCACCTCTTCTCTCTTAACCACTCAGTACAAATCTATTCCATGTTTAGTAATTCTGTGTCCTCTTTATTTTTAATGTCAATCTATCCATCTCTGCACAGTCTAATATTTTCCGAATTATGTCCTCCTCTGGTGGGGTGTCGTTTTCCCAATAATGTGCCAATACAATTTTTATGTACACTGAGAGCATTTGCACCAAGACAAATTCCTGGTGTGTCCAATCACACTTGGCCAATAAAGAATT